AAAGAACTCACCTCCACCCTCAGAAAAAAAGATGTGGAAAGGAATTCCACTTCCCATTGCAAAGGAAGCAGAGCCCTTGGGAAAGCAGCAGGCTAACAGCCTCATGTAAAGAGGTGCTTGGCCTCATTAAATGCATCCAGGAGCCACTAGAAGCTTGCACAACGCATGCTGAGCCACACAGGCACGGAAACCCTAAATGTCCCATAGCCTGTGTTCTGCCAAAGCTGCTTCCCATCCTGCAGGATGCTGGCAAAAGAGCACCGTGAGCTGAGAAGACACCTGCCCCTCATCTTCAAAAGCCAGTATCGCAGTCCTGGGCTTGTATGCTCCAATAGTTCCTATAAATGTGGTCCATTTCAGAGAGGGACACCAATAAACTAGCTTTTCTCCTTGTTCGAATTTCAGTGTTTTATGCCCTGCGCTTCAAAGTAACTTCCACGGGGTCACTGATAAGATGGTGCATTCCCCCTCCTCCAGGCAATGGCCCCTAGTCCTTCCCTGGGATTTCTCCCTTTTCCTTGAGATTCATTACTTTACAATGCCTCCCAGGCTGGATCTTTGCCAATCCTTGCTTCAGTTTCTCCTTGGGCAGTTTCTGGTGGGACTCAAGGGCCAGTTCAGGCCTCCCCTAACACTGTTGTCTGAGCCTTCTACATGATGTCTTTGTCCCTTCTCTTCTTTCTTTATACATCTTCTTGCTTTCTTCCTCCTGCGCTCTTCTCATCTCTTTTTAAGCCCTCTTAGTCACAGAGCTTGGCCCACAACCTATTCAGTTTTCGCCGACACTGGTCACCAGTCAACCCTTTCAGCGCCTGAGCAGCCCTACAGATCCAATTACTTTTGCTTAACTCAAGGTGTGACCCTCAGTATTCTACTGAATAGTTTAACGCAGGCGTCTCTAACCACTGGAAGCAAACTGACTACATGGGTGACTGTATTGCTCCTCTTTCATCTCCCACTAAGAAATCCAGCTTAGGCCCCATGTACAATAATAGAAATATCACACTCTCCCATCTACATTACTTTTCCTGAGCAATTCCAGGAAGAAATCATGCAGAGGATTGCTTTACTTTATGTTAATAATAGAATGTTGGATTCTCTTCTTTAAAGTTTTTAAGGAAGCAGATGGATAATCTTTATATAACTCCCTGAGAAACAAAACACACGGAGCTAATGTGCCTGTTTCTTACTTGAGCTGAGATTCTCTTACTCGAGTTTCTTACTTAGTCAAGATTAATTTATGCATGGCAGTGGTGCGATGGCCATCCAGCCACATGTGTTCTGCCCTGCATGGCAGGTCTTGTGTCAAGTCATAGCCTTGTAGTTCTGGCCAGGGCTGATGATGCTTGCACAACTTCCATGAAAAGGGCCTTGCTGGTGTGGTTAAAGAACTGGCTTGGATCACAAGGGCAAAGCTTCACACAAACTGCATACCACGTGGAGCAGTGCCCATCTGGTTTGCATTGTCTGCAGCCACCACATCACAGGGTGCATGCAAGTAGTGGCGCCCAGTGGGATTTAAAAAAAGGAATTTGTGTTTAAGTTGTTTACTACCAAAGGAAAGGACCGTGTTATACTTTGTGCTAGGGAGGAAAGGATTCGAAAACAGGCAGGCAGGTTTTGGTGAAAGTTTCAGATGAGCTAGAGAGGGATTCCAGTAGTTTCCAGAAGCAATAAAAATTCTGTGTCCTTTTCTTATGTCTCCTATTCTTTGTCTCCTGTCTGCCTTCCCCACTTACCCTATATAATTCTATTTGGGGGGGGGTTGCAAGTAAAAAGGCAAATTCCTTGAAGCATACTATATCATGAATAATAATGAGATGCAAATATTGTAATATACCTTATGCAACTTGCATCATTTACTCAGAGCACTGAAAACACACTGGGATCTCTTGGTGCAAAGTACACCCAGCTTTGCCTTTAAAAACCTCTGTTGCTTCCTCTGCTTCGTTGCTAATGCGGTTCTCGTGTCTGCAGGAAATAAAATGTGAGGACTTTTACAGAAAACAACTAATCCCTAATCCCCGAAAGATGGCAACATGCTTTCGCTGAAGGCCTCCAGGGACCATTAAAGTTAAATGGATGTGTTCTTCTCACTCATTCAAGGGGAAGCTGAATCTCGTTTGTGGAGCACTGCTAGGGAACGTAGCACCCACATCTCCAGAAGAGGGGCGCTCACTCCAACAGGTCAGTCTTCGTGGGCCCCCAGAACATCTTGTGTGTTGCTGCGCTTCTGCCTCAGCCTGCCACCTCCAGAGTTTCCACGCACTGCACTGTTAATTCAGAGCCAAGAGGTTTTGCTGATTTGAGCCTTTTACATGTCCCAGCCTGGGAGCCACCTGAGGCTTCAGTGAGAATGGACCTGAGTCAGTGTCTAGTGCATGACAAATGAAGGAAATTGAAGTCGGGATGCGTGTGTTTTCTCTCAACAGGCATAGCTCCCCGCTAATCCCCTGAGCTCTCACCAATTCTGCTAGCCTCAGCGGTCCCAATTCCCTCTGCTGAACTCCCTCTACACAGGCAGCTCCGACCAATATTGCTGTCACTCTCATCTCCACTGGAATGCATTTGCCAGATTTAAGCCTGCCAGCTAGAACAGAGCATCTGTCAGAGACCAGGGAGGTGTGTGTATGTGTGTGTTCGCTTGGAGGGGGGGAACATTAGTTGCCTTCACCATTCAGGGAAGTGATAATATGATAGAAAAGAGCTACGAAATGACTTTTGTAGCCTAGTGTTATGAAGAGTGAATAATTCATGCATCTATTTTGGAAGCCAAGGCTAGGACAGAATAGTGTTCAACTCTACCCAGATTATTCTGAATGCTATGGTAATGTTGATTTCTCTTGTATTTGATCACAGCCACAGCAGCCTGGATGCATTAGGTAGAAACATTTTGGTTTCGTGTAATTCACACATACAAGGGGCTGGGAAATGATACCATCACATCTCAGGAAGTTGCCTGTAAGCAGCATTCAAAATTCCCTTCCCATTAGAGGGCCTTTTCCAGGTGTCCTAATGTGGAGACAATAATCAAATACCAAATCATCAGTGGCCCCTCCAGAGAAGCTTTCCAGTTGTAATAGCAGCCTGACTCACTGATCTGTCCCTGAAGACCCTCCTTGCGGTAGGAGAAAAATCCGGGAAAGGCTACAGTTTGCCTGGCACAGCAAGAATGTATTGCTAGAGATCAGGACACCAAAATGGATGAAGACAAGGAAGTTAAGAGGAAGGATTTGAAATGTTTTCCTGCTCCTCCCCATTTCCCTTTATTCCTAGAAATGCAGTTTCCTCTTTTTTGTACTTCTCTGTCCTCACAGGCTCCAAGACGAATGTGTTCTGCAATTATTTTACATTCTGCAATCTTCAATCTAATTCTATATGTTTGCTCCAACCATTGAAAGGAAAGAGCAGAGTGAAATCCATGCTTGAGATGATCTGCATCTGTGATCTCATACCCACATATAGAGTGAATGACCTTATATGGGATGAGCGGCACTACTCTGGAGGAGTGGTGGCTGCATGGATCACGCCTTGCTGGTTTGTACAAATGATCTGGAAGCTTCTTGCCATGGCTTCTTGTTACTGTGCTGATGGGAGTTGTGATGTAACTGAAAAATGTGGGTTTCAAGGAATGTGGATTTTCCCCACCCCAACACTTTGACTTGAATTCATGATCTTGCACTTAGTTTGACACTGTCAGTCTTTTCTGTGCTATAGATTGCCACAGGAGAGTCAAAAGATGACTTTGTGTGTTGCTGTGTGGATCTCCCCCTCTCTTCATAATAATTTGCCTTGCTCCAAACATGCTTTATAAAGCTGAGAAGGTTTGCATCAAAGATTCTGTTCAAATATGCTTCTGAGACCTCTGGGATTGACTTCCATGTTAAAAAAGCAAGGAGGCTAACAAGAAGATCAAGGTGGGTCACAAGGGATGGTGAAGGCCACACATCCTGTCACCTAATACAGAAACTGGCATTACAACACCCAACCATTCCGAATCACAAAGTATGACACTGTTCTCAAGTAAGTCCAATGGATTGCTTGGGGTTTTTCTACCTGATGCCCTTAATCTTTATTGGTTAAAAGTAAATAAAACCTTTATTTAACCACTTTATCGAGGCTTGCTGGGGAGGGGTGTCTTTCTATGCTTTTCTGTATGTTCCAATACCCTACCACTAGGTGGAGCTATTGTATATTATGTGATGTTGCTACACTTGTGCAAATAGGCTAGGGTTTCATGCCACCACCAGATTTACTTGCCAGGAAACAGACAGACAGACACTAAATGGTTGCAAAGCATGGGGGAGGTTCTGGAAGATGACAACATGCTGGAAAATTACCTGTGAACTACTGTGCATAGGGGATCAGGAGCACACAGGTTAAAAGCATACTAAAAGCTGCAATGATAGAAATCCAGGTTTGGACACCGTTCATTGGGAACTGACACATGGCTGCACGGCTCTTCCATGCAGCGCTTTTCTTTTGAGTTCCTGCAGATCCGTCTCTCAAGGACTGGAACTGGCTGACATTGCATTTAAGGAATGACTGCGCTGCTTTCCTTATAAACGTGTATGTCTGATCAACTGTAAGCATCCGAGTCACGGCTATGTAAACTACCCTGAGAAAATGCGGGAAAGACCAAGAATACAAAAAGTCACATGCCTAATCCTGCACACTCATGGTCAGACAGGTAGTTCATATTCCAGTGAATTCCATTTATTACTTAATATGAGCAGCAGCCTCTTGTGCCAAAGCAAATGGCACACTGAAGCGACACAGTGTGCCTCTAGCATCTCTGCCAACGCCTGTGGCGTTCTAAGGCTCTCTCTTGGGAACAGACTTTCTGCCCGCAGACAGCTAGCAGCTGAAGGAGCATTCCCCCACTCCTTGTTTCCCTAAGATAGCATTCATTTCTTTCCATCACGCACATGACTCATCAGTCACTCCCTGCCCAGCCGCACCGCTTGCCCATCCTGAATAATCCTATACAGTTTCCTTACCGTAACGGTCGGAGAGTTCTCAGCAGCCTCAAGACTCTTAGCATTCCCAGGATTTTTGTGCCACTGTCAGAAACCATTGAAACCAGGATGTCCACCACCGAGATGAGAACCAGCACCCCGTCCAGCACGTTCCAACTGCTTCTCAGGTAGGCCTTCTCACCAAAGCACAGGCCCAGCGCCACCACCTGCCAAGAGGCCCAAGTGCAAGAAAACATAACCAATGCAGCCAGTATGTTAGGAGGGCGAAGAGGGGACTGCAAATGCACTGCCCCATCGGTCACAATAACACACGTTATCTGATCCTGCAAAGGGTCAAAGTGTAATTAATGTTCATAACAGATCTATACAGAAATGCTCTAGGTAGCACCTTTATAGCTGATGCAGCTAAAATCTGATTGTGCAGACATGCTTGTAACGATGTACAACAATTATGTAAAATGGTGGCACACAGAATCACTCCTACAGCAGACTGTTATCCATGATGAAAAGGAATGAAACACTTTTCAAAGTGTTTGTTTTCAAAAGCAAAGGTGGTCACAAGAATGCCCAAAACTAGAACAGCTGAGAGATTCATAATGTCTTTATCTCCCATTCACTGCACATACACATGCATCTCGTTGAAATCATTTCTTTAGACTTTAGAGTGGGAGAGAGATGGATTGTCCCCACTATTCCTTGGTGTCTCTCTTTAAAGAGTGTCACACATATACATATAGAGATGCTGAAAAAATGTTCTCATGGAATATGCTTTAGAAATCCATCTAACATGGCAAGCTGCTGCAGGGGAACTCGGTTCAGCAGTTTGAGAGGTCCAAGATGGGAGGCAACAGGCTAGCACCGCTGCCCCCGGAGATGCTTTCAAAATCTTGTGATTTCAGCTACAGGTAGTCCCCAGGTTATGGATGCATTCCGTTCCTGAGAAAGTCCTTAAGTCAAATTTGTATGTAAGTTGGATCACATATATAAAAAGCATAAAAATACTTACAAAATACTTCCATATACACTAAAACAACTTAAATACAACACAACATTTTAATAATATATTAATACAGTAATAACAAAGTAACCACAGGTACTGAAGAGAATCTATATGTATGTATGTAGGTATAGAGTACAGTTCGTAAAACAGTTTAGATAGAAAGAGAGAAAAATAGTAAAACGATTATTAAAGTTTAACACTTCTTGAGCTAACATCAAGCCCAACATTAACTGGATGATGATGGAGAAGGGACTGGTGTTGGAGAGGATGGACCTAGTCTGGAGAGTCAGGGTTTGATTGTGCTGCTGGAGTGGGTGGTGGTTACCACTGCAGTGGCTTTCTAGTTCTCACTTTGCTGCTTTCTGGTGCCACTTTTTCCCTCCCTCCCACCCTCCTCTCCTTGACACTCAGCACCCAAGGGCACTCGCTTGCCACTTGGGAATGAGGCAGGACTTCTGGATTTGCTCGTTCATAAGCATGGATTGCTTGTAACTGGGACATTCATAACCCAGGGATTATCTGTACTTCACAACAACTTTGGGTTACAATAGGCTGAGGGGCAGTGATGCACAAGGCCACCCAGTGCACCAGGATTTGAACACGACTCCCCCAGCTTCCAAACTCCTCCATCCAGCTGCTGTGCCACCCTAGCTCTGCTTTTCCTCCACAACCACTGCTTATTTTTTTGCTTGGCAATCAGAACTGAATATTCTGTTCCCTGCAAGGTGTTGCCAATGTCATTCAAAAGGAGTGCTGTGTTTTTCTCTGGAAGCTCGGTGAGCCTCTCTGCAGATTCATCCTAGATTTACCATTGCAAAGGCAAACTTTACATCCTCCGTCACCAGCGCTGAGCACACTGAATGAGTCATAGTTTGGACATTATCTGGAGAGAATAACCTCCTGCTGCATTTAGAAACCAATTGCTACTTATGAGCAGGACATCATGAGAGGAGTGGGATGTGATTGCCCAGGAGATGCTTGGCTCAACGGCCAAATGCCTGTGTCCTCCTGCCGTGAGGCTGACCTACGTGTCTGTCCCCCACTTGCTCCTGCCTCTCCTTCCTTCCTCATCCTCCTGGATAAGGAACTGGAAGCAGGCTGGCAAAGGATCTTGCTTCTTCAAGTCTCTGAAGTGCCAGGCATATTGATGGCATCATCCACATCATCATCATCATCATCATCAGTAGGGGGCTGCAGTGGGGTGCTTTATGAAACTCCTTGAGATATAACATTTTCTCAAGGAAGGTCATATACTTAGTAAAAGCTTGAGCTTGAGCTTAGGTGTGTGCTGAAGTCCTGCTGGAGTACATACAGCTACATACACACAATGACAAAGTAGGTGCTTATTGGAGTCTCTGCTTTGCTCTGCTGTATTTGTCCAATAGTAAAAGCAGGACTCTGTGCCTGCTGCATGGCAGAGAACCTCGAACCGGTGCAACATGTGAAGTCATGAACATCGTTTTGCTTATTCAGAAACAAGTAGCGGCCATTACAACGGCTACGGAACACAACCTAGAAATATGATTCTGGTACTCACTGAGTACAGCTGGGCTATGAACCATCCAGAGAGCTTTGGCTATTAGGGCAATGCGGAGATGAATTTAATGATGAATACATTCTATTAGAAGCCCCAGTCACAGTCAGAGATTTTGCATACTGGGAAAGCCCATGGGCAGACGAACACACACATTGCGGGGGTGGGATGCAAATGAAAATGGCACACCATCAGAGCACAGGATGAAGTATAAAGGTCAGAAGACCAAACGGTCACTTACCTTGATGGTCATTTCAGCCAGAAAGATTGCTGTGAAAATATAGTTGGAGAGGGTAAGGAATATCCGCTCCTATTTAAGAAAGAGAGAGGTGTGTTCAGTGAGATGTGTCCAGTGAGATGTTTCAGCAATCTCACTGGCCAATCTCTGTATGTTTATCCACCTGGTATCTGCTAAACATTTTCTTGTGCTCATGCTGAAGCACCAATCAACCTTTACAAACGAAGAAGAAGAAGAAAAATCTATATACATATATGATAAGACTTAATTTGTTTCAAGTCCTCTGCCTTGTCAAATATTTTTTCATGTATTAGCACCATGGACAGCTGCCAGCCCTCACCTATTGGGGTGCAGACCAGTTGTTCTCCAGACTTACCTGTGTCATTTCCAGCCATTCACCACACCCCTAGAGCGAACAGAACTGCTGTGCTACCCATGCTAAGAGTGCAGAATGTGTGGAGATGGAAGGCGCCAGAAGGGCTGAGTGTGGGAGTGGCAACCTTGGACATTCTGGGGGAATGTCAGGACACATTAAATACATCCTTGCAGCGTCCCTTGTTTTACAGATGATCTGCAAACTCTCCTTTTGGTGTTATGAGGTAGGACAGCCTTCACCAAGCCCTCCGCATATGTTGGAATGCAACTCCCATCATTCCCAGTCCATGGGTTAGAGAAGGCCAAGGCAGAAAGAAGCTGTTTTTGCAAGGAAAGAGAAATCTAGATGCCACACTGCAGCTGATGTTTAAGGAGGTTACTCCACTTACCGAGGAGTATGCTCCACTGAAGTCAGTGGAACTCACTATGCGCAGACTGAGCAGGAGTGCTCTTTTTGTGAAGAGAACGAGAAACATGTGCACATGTGTACCAAACTCACATGCATGTTCTTCCTTTCTCCTCTGGTAATGAGAGATTCAGGGAAATCACACCAGTGGGAACACTGGAAAATTTTCAGTGTGTTCAGTATGCTTTCATAAAAGTAAAAAAGGAATGATTTACTTTACTTATAAACTGAAGGCTGAAAGGAAACTACAGCAGTGAAGCTGAAAGCAGAGGCAATGCTAGTTTCAAGGTAATGATCAAACCAGGGCTCAGAATGGGCCAGTCCTGAGCACATGAGGCCCAAGACATAGTGGGCTGATTGTTGTGTGAACCCCTTAGAGTGCACCTGACAGACAACTGGGCTTTTGGCCCTCGCTCTCCCTCCTCATTCCTCCCATGGGGATCCTGGGGACACCATGGAAAGACTGAGTTGGCTCCCCCTTCCCACTGTGATTGTGAGAAAAATTATGTTGGGAGGCAGCAAAGCATACAGTTATACAGAATCTATATACTTGTATATTCTCCTGCCCATTTTGACCTTTTCTAAACCCCACTTGAAAAATGGATCTTTGTCTCTGACTACTGCCAACAGTATCTAGTCCACTAAATGGGGTGGCTGCACTTTTACATGTTTCCGAGGTGGTAAAATCTCCAGACAAAGTGCAAAAGTGCAGGCCCCCTTGGGAGACCTGATTCTCAGTCATGAAGCTCTTACTATGAAGGGGAGAAATGCACTGCACCCTTTTCACAAAGTAAAATCCCTTTTGCCTTTGCTTGCATTTGACAGCTGTCAGGTGTAACAAAAAGAAAAATAAATTTCCTGGCTGCCTCTGTGTGCACTGCCCAGGGAACAGTTCAACTTTGCCAGTGGACACTCCTTTGCAAACATCCACAGTTCTGCGAGAGCAGGTAACATCTTTTTAAAATATTTTTTGCAAATTCTAAAAGGGAAAATTAGAAAAATGCTTGGCAACCATGTTTCATCCCTTCAAGATACCTCTTGAAGGTATCTTGTGGAAACAGGGATCAGAAAAGCCAGCTTAATAAACAGCTGCTGTGAACCGAAGGAAAAAAGTTTACAGGGAGAAGAGGCTGCAGCATGCCTGGAATGGCTTGAGATCATGGGGTGGGGGGGCTGGTGCCAGTGGCCCCCAAGGGCCTGGTCATGACTTTGGGTGACTAGCACTGGCCTCTGCCGGGGAATCATTTGGCAAGAGTTTTCACCACTCTGGCCAAGGGGTTCCATAGCTAACTCCTTGTACCCCCAGTGGGGTCACTTGCTCATTTTCTTAAGAACTGTACTCTCTTTATTCTACCCATTTTCTTGAAAGGTCTCTGAAGAGCCCACAGCCATCCCAACTGTTCATAGCTTAGCCTAAGTTCTTAAGACTCCACCAGGTGTCTAAGAAACCTCTCCAGATGACATTGCCATTGGTAAATAAAGAGGTTCTGATAACAGAGGAAGCTACAGGGTATAGTAACAATCAAGAAAGAAACAACACAGAGGACCCATCTATCTGAGAGCGTTCCTTTTGCCAGTGTAGAAGAGGCCGCTAAGAGAAAATGCGACTGAAGACTCAAACCTGCTAGATCAGGCTTTACCGCAAATGAGTCAGGCATCCATAGACAGCCCCTTCCTAAGCTGGCGGTCCGTAATTAATCACATCTTACAGAATCCAGCTGTTACCACACAAGTTTGGCTCGGCAAACATTCTCAGCCTTCGAGTCCCGCACAAAAGGGTAGCTCAGGCGAGATGCTGGCAGCCGGATAAAGTCCTGCTTTAAGAGCTGCCATGAAACATTAATTGTGGGCAGAGAAGGGGTGGGACCTGAGGCTCCCCCGTGTGAAGCATGTAGGAATGTCGGAGCGTGATCTCTGCAGGCGACAGGCAGAACACTCGGCAAGGGACTTGCCCGTTGTCCAGAGGCAAGCCCCCTCCCAGGCACCCCATAACTCCCCCTCTCTGGTGTGGCAGGCAGGCTGAAGCTGGGCCAGGGGCGAGCTGGCTGGAGGTGGCTAGAAAAATCCACATCCCCGAAAAGGGAAGAATGATTGTTTGAGACAACTGAAGCTCAGATAATATCTGTTCTGGCTTCTAGGCAAGAACTCTCATATGGAGAACTTGGTGCAGCGCGTCGTATCCCTTGGTGGAGGGTACCTTACTCTGCCCCCGGCGCTTCCTGGTGGGGCTGCTGATACCCCCTGCTGGGCTATGATTCATGGCGCATGCCACTTTTAGCCTGCCTGTGGCATTTGTTTCCATGGCCATGCTCCAATGCACTTTTATTCCAGACTTCTGCAGCTTGCTCACACTTGTATATCAAGGCTTTCCTCCAGAGCAAAGGCGGCACGGCTTCTTTCCCCTCTACACCCATGGAGTTGCCTTCCCATCCATCCTGGTGTGCACTCAGTCCTATTTTCTCTGTTTCTGGACCATGCTGGCCATCCTCCCTCCTGCCCCGCAGACTCTAGTCCCTCCTGCCCCGCAGACTCTAGACCCTTTCTCTCTCTGTCTTTCTCTTCACCTTATGTTTCTAGTGGTTCCAGATTTAGGTTCCCCTGAGAAGCAGGCCCCTTGAAACAAGAGCTGAGGGAGGGGGTCTCCTTTGGGACAACTGGCTGATGTTTTATGAATCAAATAAATAAAAATAAATAAAATCCATTGCTCTGGGTTTTATTTGCCACCAAAATGCCCTTTGTCTGCACTATTCACTGAGCCTTTTTGCAACCCATGTGCTGTGTTGACAAGCACTGGTTCTATAAGCACGTATACTTGAAAGACTAATTCTAGTCTTAGAAAAGCATCTCCAGTTTTTGCAGGTCCTGCAAAGAACAATTACTGAACTCAACCAAACCAGATGTTAGACTGAACCTTTTTGTTTGTTTGTTTGTTTGTTTAAATGTGTATACCAGTTTCCTAACAACCACCCTGACAACACGTAGTGGGGGCAGGGGGGGTTAACAAAATATGCATCTGAAAGTTAATGACGGCCTGTGAACTCAAAATAGCTCTTGTTCCATCCAAATCACTCATGTAAGAGTAGCTTTTAAAAGCCAGTGAACAGAGAGCGCGCCAACGCTTGCTCATTAGAAGGGTGTTCTTCCTTTAACAGTTTCAAGGGGTTTCATGCAAAGCCCTGCCTGACAAAAGTTTGAAAACTCCCAACCTTAATGAAGAGCACATTTAATTAACTAATATGCATGTTGAGTTTGTGCAAAGAAATAAAAAATGAAATGAAAGGGGAAAAGCAGAGATTTAGATGTATTTCATGCCACAGTCTAAAGCAAAAGCGCACAATTGGACACTTATGGAAAACAGGGCTGCCCTATGGCCCTCAGCCCAATTTTATGTGGCCTTCAGCTTGATCTCAAAAGCCCCAAGGCAAGAGGGATCTGCTCCTTCCCTGGCATTTGCATTCTCCTGGTGAAGACTGGGTAAGAGATACAAAGGAAGTGCGGAATGACAGACAGACAGACAGACAGACAGACAGACAGGGATGCAAGAGAGAATGAAGCAGAAGAGGGGGTGGCCCTGCCTATTCCGATTCTGGATCTTCTCATTACTGTGGGGATGCAGCCTGCAACTGAAAAGACATTCCCCATCACAGACTGATAGAAAGCTTGGTTTGATAATACATAAGCTTTGAAGCAGCCAAGCTGTAAACCCTATTTGGAGGTGCTCCACTGAAAACTGTGGACATCAGTTCTTTTGCCAGCCATGATCCAGAAGCTCAGGTGAACCTCTGGGACTCTGATTTCATGCATGCTTTTCTGGAAGCAAGTCCCATTTGTTTCCAAAAGGGGTTACTCTTAAGAAAGCAGATAGAGAATTGTACACTTAAGAGCTGGCATAAGCGATTTCCAGTAACTCGCTGCAGCTTTCACTTAAAGTCCTGCCTCCCACCTGCAGAATGGTGCTGGGAGCTACTCCTGCAACCATGTTGGCAAGGCAGAGGGAGGGTAAAGGTCTGCGTGCAGACAGGAACATTGGAGCAATGTTGTCTGCAGTGAAAATGAAAGTTTATCTCCCTGAATCCAAATGAGGATTCTGCAGCAGAACAGTGAGTCCTAAGTCACATGCATTCTGTGGACTTGCAGACTGATTTTTCACTTTGGGGGAGGATTAGTGCTAATGCAAATTAGCTCAAGTACAACAGAACTCTGATTTAGAAAATCCATCTCTGTGAATTAGTGAATGATGGAAGAAAAGACACTTGAATAAATGCAAAACACAGGCAGAAGAGATTTAACAAAATCCACAAACTCCAAGTTGTAGATCCCAAAGAATACATGGGGATGTTGTATAATTTTATTAACTAAGTTTCAGAAAAGAACCTGAAATCTACGTATTTCTAGCATACAGTTGTTTGGTAAGACAAGCCAGCTTTCCATTCTGGAAGAAAAGTGCCCCATGTCAGTGTAATGTATTAGTTGTACCCAAACATGTTGCCAACTATGCATCTAGATTCAGTTCAGACAGTTCAGTATAAGCCTTTGAACTTAGACCATTTCAGTAGCTCAAACCATACTTTTATATTAAAATTTCATAGAACTCCAGAGGAGCAAAGTGGGTGTTTTCACCTCACTTGCCAAGTAGGAATTTAAAATCAGGGTTTAAAAAAATCATAAACAACCAAGTATGATGCCCAATACCTTGAAGGGTTGAAATTCACAAATTTAATTGGACTAAACAATTTGAGAGGGTTGCTCTCTTTCTTCTCTGGCTTTGCTTTGAAGGAAGTGATTGTCACAGGGATGCAGCCCTGGGTAACATTAAAGAAACAACTCCCAGGGTTTGTGTGTGTGCCTGTCTTACCTGCCTTCTTTTTGCATCTCTGAAAGTACAATCCTACGGATACTTATCAGGACACAAGCCCCACTCAACTCAGTGGGAGTTATGTCCAAGTAAATATGAATAGGATCAGGCAGCAAGAAACTGAAATAAAATAACAGAATGATCAGATTTATGTGCTTATCTGGTGGATTTCAAATGGACAGACACTGTTGCTATGAAGATCTGGCTTGGGAAAATTCATTATGCAAATCTATCAAAACAAATGCTGCAGATAACTAGAATGATGGTGTTTCTTCATATCAAAACAAAGATAAAAAAGAGGAGGAAAATGTGCAAAAAAGAGCCATTTCTCTCCTCCCCAAATGCCAGCACAGAACAGATGGAAAGGACCAAACTCAACATTACACCAAAAAAGCAAAGAAGTGTTTGAACATTTATTGGAGAAGAAAATTGTGACAGGTGCCATAGCTGTGTCAAGTATTAAAGCAAGTCGATTCTGCCTTGGGAAATAGGATGCAAAAAAAGAGGGAAAAAAGAAAGTTTTGATGCCTTCGACACATGGATGTTGTTCTTGGATGTTGCAGAGCAGCATAAAAAGACAGCTTGGCAGAGGCAAAAGCAATAGCAGGGAAAGCCCTTTTCACTCCCAGCTGGGAAGAAGCACTTATTGCTCAAATTAACGACATGCAGGTGAAAGGGAGGGGGGCAGAAAGAAAAACCACAGCCAATTATAAACAGATGATGCCTAATTTTCATCCACAGCCAAAATGCATAAGCCAGGAGCAGAACGTGGAAGCAGAGCAAGCGTATAACCTTTTCTGTCCAAGTGCAACCCCCATTTGGTTCTGCAGCCACAGTGGGCAGGTGTAAGTCTATGCTGCTGGATCTGGGCAACGGATCAACGAGTTCTGCCAGAGTGGGAGTTGAACCAGCTTTGCCTCCCGGCGGGCACACGTGATGTGTGGAAAGGGGTGGTTTGGATTTGGCTGGAGAGCCAGCGTAGGAATTCGAGGCGCTGATGCTGCTTGGATGCTTATGCTGCCTGGGCGCTTGTTTCTGTGACACCACAATGCCTGGCTGGATCTGTACATTTGTGAAGGTGAACTAAGCCAGATGTTTGTGACGGCACCCTGTGTGTAGCCTGCTCTGTCTTCCTAAAAAAGCTCGTCATGGAAAAGTTGCCCTTAATTTCCCAATAGAGAGAATAGGAAGGTATGGAGCAAGACTGTGGGAAGACAGAAGTGCCCCATCCCATCCCATCCCATCCCATCCCATCCCATCCCATCAACAGGGATGCCTCAGCTCCCAAGAGAATTCTTGGAATTCTGCAAGTGGGCTTAAAAGCATGTGTTTTCTTCCCGCACCACATGTGTTCATGTTTGCTATCTTAGTTGCCCATGAACATGAAAATACAGGCATGCATACTCAAAGCTTGCAAAGACTGCATGAAAACTGCAGTCCTCAAGCTGCCCGTGAAACACAGGCATCCCTACCTAATCATCAGGCAGAAAGGGTATGCTTGCATTGCCTCTGATGTTTCGTTAAGGCCATCTGCTAGCATAAGTCAGAGTAATTTAACTTTAAGTCATTTCCCCCTCTTTATTCCAGTCGTGATTATCACCATTCTCCTTCAGCAGAAAGGCTGAACAGATGCTTATAAAAGCCCTATGGCACCAGCACTGAAGAGGCCGCAGGCCTGGAATTTATAGCTCACTGGTGGAGCGGAGGGGTAAAGATCTCACTCAGATCTGCCGTGAGCCCGTCCACCCCCATCCCCCCGCCCCAGGATGCCAACCAGACTCAGACTGGATCCTTGGGAGCAGGTCCCAGCCCTGAGTGACTGCAGTTCCTGCTGCTCCTGCCTCATAAATTAGGGTTTCTGGGAAGACCAGCAGCCCTCGTTGGTTCCCGCCACTTGCCCTTTGGCAAGGGACTGCAAGATCTTGACAGAAGCCCAAAATGAGCTTGAGCCGCTTAACAAGGTGGTAACGTGATTTGCTACTACTCACTGCGCTGTGTGGCTCAATTTTGGGACGCTCCATTGCAATGGTGATGCAGTTCAGAAAAATTATAACTAAGACGACATGATCAAACATCTTGTGAGTGATGATTTTATTGCATATCACACGAAATCTAGGCAAAAAGGGAAAAAGAGAAAGAGAGAGAAGTAGTAGTTGTAACAGTGAGCTTTACCAGTGCTTGAAACAACCCTCCAAGGACAGTGAATCCCAATCAGTACTCTTGTTTTCATAAGGAAAACAGGTATAACTACCAGCACGTCCTTGGGAACATTGCTTCCTCAACAGGGGCAACTCTCCGCTCAAACATCTCTTCCTTGCAAAGCTTTTTCGATAAATCCCTCATTTCCTCTCCCTTTCTCAGCCATTAGGAATGTCACACTTGCTCTACTTCATTCGCCCCAACTTTTGTGCCCTGGGAAAAATGCTAGCCCGCCATGAGAAAGCCATGCATTAATTAATTCATTAATGGCTCCCATTTGCTCAAAATATCCACCAATAGGCAAGGCTGCCTGCTGTGTCTCTCCACATGATTTTCCAGTTTGGCCTGTTCTTCTTCCAGTTGGCCTCTGCCTGAGACAGGCGATCAGTTTTGCAGTGTTTCTCCACTGGGTTCGGTGGGATCATTTACCGATCTTCTGATGCAGAGATCTAGCAGCATGACTTGCTCTCAGAAGATGCCGCCCACCGAGTCTCTAAAGGAGTCATTGGTCTGTGCTTGCCACCTTCCAATGAAAGGTGAGGAGGGATTAATTGATCATGCTGAAAATGAGAGGTGGGTTGATTCCTTTAGAGAAGGGCAATTCTTACCCTTAAAAATCAAGCAAGTCTTTCAGGTGTATGAGAGAAGAGCATTTTCAAGTTAGTTTTCTCCTTCAACAATTAGAAACCTGGGAAAGTCTGGTTTTACACAATTCTACCTCTCTGTAAGTCTCTTGAACAAGTCTAATTCTCATATTCCAGGACAAGTGACAGTAATTTCCAGTTCCTCCAGTATATTAAACTGAAAGGATTCATGTTTATCCCATGCTAAACACCTGCAAAAGAGGCAGCTGTGTTTTTCAGTATCCTGCTTGAAAAGGGCAGGAGAGGGAGTGGGCTTCTGAGGATCTCCCTCTTCCTGTATAGCCTGATAAGGCTGAACAGTGCCAAAGGAACAGAAGCCTTGAGGGTGGCTCTATACTCTCCGAAGATCTATGGTCAATCGTCATGTGCGCATGGATGCTTTGCCCTGTGGACCAAAGTGTTCTCCCACTCTGACCCACCTGTCCTGGCCAAGTACCTCTACCTTTGGGAACCCCCCACAGGAGATCCCGTCACTGATCTCCCAACAAGAATCTAATCTGGCCATTCATTCTGATTTAAAGAATGGCTTTTCTTGATGCTAGAGGCCACTGGTACAAAAACATTTCCAAATGGATCGCTGATGATAAGCATATCCAGGGAAACTTCATGTGAAGAAGGGAGGGCTCCAGAAAAACATCTCCATGTGGCCAAATGACTGCAGAGCACTTTCTAGTGCTCCAGTGATACAGATTTGCCGCAGCTGCTCAGGGAGAAACACCCTGGCAGTTTTCCAATGTGTGTGTTGGGGGACATTTCCCACTGGAACTGTAGTTCTGAATGACGGCATCTTTTGCTGTTGCAGAAAAGAAAATACACTATTTTTGTACACCTGTATGTATTTCCATGGCCACAGGGAGGACAAGTCTGGAAATGTTTGAAGTGAAATTTGAACAAAGATGGAAGAAAAGTTCAGTACATCTTCTACAGAAAAGTAAGGAATCTGCCTCATCCCAAATTCAATGCCTTCAAGATCAGGGGTGGACTCTCCAGATGCTTTGGGCTATAACTCCTATAATCCCCAGCCAACATGATCATGGTTAGGGTTAATGAACTTTGTAGTCCAAATGTCAGTGTGTGTATGTTTGTGTGTGGGGGGTGTAACCAGGTTGCTTGCCCTTGGTTGCTCTTCTGGAGTTCTGGACAGGTGTCCTCCTCAGCCCAACCTGGAGAGCCAGGGACCAAATCTGGCACCTGCTGCGTGCAAAGCAGGTGCTATCTCGCTGTGCTATGCTGCTTTCCTGACCATGGATCTGATGACCAATAGTCCCAGACAGCTGGTCCCCATCTTCTCTGGAATGAGGACCTCTCCTAGTTTAGACTTCATGGAATCCAGGAAGCTCCTGGCGGCACATGAGCCTCTGGAAGTGTCATGCAACCATTCTGACTATGGTAAATTTCTGACCCATTCCAGTGTGCTATGGAAAAACTAACTGATAGAGTCCTGCCTAGAGAAATCATCTCCTTTTATGGAATTCAAAATTTCTTCTGGTAGATCTTGAGAGGATGGGGCAGTGTTGGAATTGTAAGTGAAAGGAGTGGGGGCCAAAGGGTAAAGGGTGAGAAGAGAAGAGAAGAGAAGAGAAGAGAAGAGAAGAGAAGAGAAGAGGGGATGGATTGTCTTGAGCAGATGCAGAAGTAATTTGCAAGATGCTAGTGTTGCTGTTCCTGTCTCCTGTTCTGAAGTATATGACTGAAGGCACTGAAGGATTGTTCAGGAAGAGACTTTGCCTCCCATTTAAGGCAGAATTTACCTGTTGGGGCATGCATGTATACATATGCATATATATTCTCCCACCCACAAACGTTACTGCATGGAAAATAGAAAACAGTTATGCCTAAGATGGCCTTATTAGTGCTGTAACAAAAATGATAGAAAGCTTTGTTAACTCCAGTGTTACAGAGGTATTCTTGCACTGAATCGCCCTACTTGCAGAATTGGGTGTTATAGGAACAGAAGGTCAGGCCAAGGGTCCATCTAGCTTCCTATGATCTACTCAGAGCAGCCGCAACAACAGCTTTCCAGGGTCTCAGACAGAGAGCGGTCTTTCCCAGTTCTTCCCTGGGATATCCAGCAATAGAACTAGGGTCCTGCCCAAACCTCTGAGCAGCAACAGAGTACTGTAAGATATATTTGTTAATTTCAGAGGTGCAGGTGAGTGTGGGCAGCCTGTTAGCCTTTTAACAGACTGCACTCTTAGGTCCTTTGGGGAGCTGTTAATCTGTCGGACACACTTGGCAAACAGAATTCGCAACCCTTGCTGCCACATGGTGATCGATCGAGCAGAGTTGCCTTACTTAGACTGAGGAGCAAAGATGTAGACAGACCAGGAATCTCTTTCTTTGCACCAGGTGGGGAGCCGTGCCCTTATCCAAGCCTTCATGCGGTCCTTTTTATTCTTAAAAAGAGAGAGACAGACAAAGACAGAAATTTAGAATGGACACACTGAGGCATCAGCATTCCTGGAATCACTGGAAAGGCTCTTGGGATACCTGCATTCCCATCCTTCCCCCTCAGACCTGGAGGCACCTTGTAGCCCTGCAAGCGGGCGGTCATCTCTGACCCGGACTTGTTGGATGTAAAGCAACAGCTGAAGCAATAAATCTGACTGTGCAGAGACGTGGCCCTTGCTGCGTAGCTCAGGTGTGGATAAATGATACCCAACAGTATGGGCAGCCTGCTCCATTTACAGATGCCACATAAAGAGGTAGGTGACTAGGGGGAAGGGTAGATTTGGAGAAATTTATTGCAGGGACATGCGCCGCTGGGCACAGTGTCACTTAAAGACCTCTCCAACATGGCGGCCACACTTGAGAGGTCAGTCAGCAGGAGAAAAACGCAGATGTCGTTGCTAAGGGAGAACAAATGTGATCATCTGTCTATCTCAGGTCATATCAAAGAACAAGATGCCAAGCTTTTACTCCATAGCAAAAATGGCATATGGCAAACAGATAGGGAGGACATTTGAAGAAAAGACAGGCAGGCCTTGTATTTAATATGCCAGTTACTACTATCCCCCCATCTACCACCCACCCCCAAAAGAAAGGATGAGCAAGAAAGTGGCACAGAATTCTTGCGGGTCTGTGCTGTGTAGGGCAATGCCTCTACGACGGCCTTCCCCAGGTTGGTGCGCTCCATATGTTTTAGACTACAACTCCCAGGATTCCTGACTATTGGATGTGCTGGCAGAGGCTGATGGGAGTCAAGGATCAAAACATCAGAGGGCTCCATGCTGGGGAAGACCTGCTCTAGGGCAATGCCCCACTTGTTCTCCAGGGGCAGTTCAGGATGTTATAATTCATTCATTCATTCATTCATTCATTCATTCATTCATTCATTCATTCATTCTCTATGCCACCCCATTAACCATAGGCTCTCTGGGTGGCTTACATCATATTAAAATCCACTAAAAGCATAAAAACAATACAATACACATACAGGGACACAACTAATGGGTGGGGAGTTATCCAGAAGTTTTTTCACAGAAACCCAGACACATTTAAATGCATAGTGGAGAGTCTGATGTGGTGAGTGTACTCTGTCTCAGAATCCTGAGTTCAGAACTTCCCTTAACCACAAAGCTCATGGGCTGACTCAGGGCCAGTTGCTATCTTCCAGCCTCATCTACCTGCCAGGGTTGTTGTGAAGCTAAAATTGGGGTGGGGTGGGGTGGGGTGGAAATGCATCATATAATCCACCTTGAACTCTTTGGAGGAAAGGAGGGAAATATATGTAATATATAAATAAATATCTCAACCATCTCAGCTGTAAGTACCTAGTTACTCCACTCCATCAGGGATTTAGCTTCCTGCTTTAATCTTTTTCTTCAGTTTTCATTTGTGGGAGAAAAAATGCACCCTTTGCACATTCTTTTCCTGGGCTTTGTATTTCTCTGCTCTTCTATATATTCTACGAACTAACCCGCAAGTTGGCACTACCATATAAATGCAGTTTAGTGGAAGTGAAATTTTACACCAGGCCTTTGTTCTGGTTTGAATTTCATTGGCCAAGTATTCTCCCTCTAAAAGCTGGGAAATGGCTCCAAAGCACAGGGGAAGCCCTGGAGGAAGATGTTGCTGTGAATGGGCTCTGAAAACCTCTGTGAGTGAGGAATCACAAGCACACAGTTAACTGTCTGGTGGAGAGAAGCCCCTACTGCCGCAAAATAGGTCACCCGTCCGAGTAATGTGTGAACCATCTCAATGGCTGAGAATTACAAGAAAGGCCCTTTCTCACATTAGGTTTGCAACATGGGAGGCACTCCAGAGTAGCATCTTGCCATGCTGTACGCAGCCCCACACCTAGGGCAGCCCCACACCTCTTGGAGACTGTGCAGAGAAGACCTTGGATGAGATCATGATTTGAGCTGGGGTTTCTGCCAAGGCATGGGCTTCGAGGGGCCGGTGCTGTAGCAATCCTCACCCAAGAATGCTGGGCTTGACAGTGGTAATCATGCAGGTTGAAAAATGTCTCAGAATGAGCTTTAATGCACAGCCAATCTTGCCCTGAATGGTACTTTGTATTTATGGAGGCTGAACTGCAATTTATATTTATGGTGCTCAGATCTTAAGCATGGCTAAGAGAACAGAATGAAATCAATACCTTTGGTGGAGTTTTGGCAGGCAAATGCAGCTGATTCAAAATATGTAACCTAGTTACAGCCTGATCTTGGAGTTCACAGAGGGATGCTCTGAGGGACAGTTGTTTAGCGCTGTGTTCAGATGCACAGGGAAAAATGACTGGATGAAATAATCAAACCAAGCAAAACTCTAATTTGTTCATGCTATTACATGGTTCAGGTCACAAGGATGTAAAACAGTCTTCTAGAAAGCAAATTAAGGCAAGTGAGACAAAAACAAATCAGAGAGGTTCTCAAGGGGACAAATGCAAACCTAAAGACATGTCAAATAATTTGAGCATGTGAATATTAGTCACAAGCTGGAAAATCCCTCTTTGTTTCAGCTCCGAAAAATCTGACAGTTCAATTTTGCATATTTATCAGGCACTCTTCAAGAACCCTGTTCATGAAACTAATTATTTTATTTTAAACGTAGCATCAAATACATTTCCATTCATTGGGGATTTATGATCTGTCCATCTATTAGTTCAGTGATCGGTTCAGATGATTATGCCCCCTTGCATTGTTGGAGGAGAGAATGCACCCCCTCCCCCCGCACCAGCCATTTGCAGAGTGAACTCTTTCAAAAATTTTGACATGGCACTTGGCCTGCCGGACAAGCAGACTTCCAATTCTCTCTCCTCAGCATTCATCCTTCACCTTATTTATGTGGGGACAGTGCGTTACTTAGGTCTACTTGGCTCATGGGGGCAGCCCATAGGCACACACCCATCAGCACTATATGCAGCTGTTGATTCAGTCTTCTATGGAATCTGAGCCAAACTAGACTTCCATGAATAGATCTCCCATATATTTAAGAAAATGAAGCTCTGTAGGTGGGAAAACCAGGGAAGAGAAAGTTTTCACACACACGAGGCCCCTAAGGGATGTCTTTACTTTAAAAGCCCCCAAAGCACAAATCTGGGTTATCTCTTTGCAGAACTTCCAACATCGCATATCGTTAGGTCCCGATAGGAGTAATCTGTTTTTTCCTGGTTCATACAGAAACACTAAAAATATAAAAGCTGGATTGACTTCCCAAAGCAAGGCTTGAGGACAACATAACAAACCATATTTATAGTTAATTGTTCTTGTTGTTAGAAGAACTAGTTATTTATATACCCTGAGAGGTCCTGTTGAAGTAAAAGAAAAAAACCTAATTGAGCAAGTGTGGTAAAAATCAGAGTTTCTATGAACAATGAGGATCCGTAACAAGTAGCATATGGGGATTGTCCCCACACTTTCATCTTGCAGGGTAAATAAACATTTCGATTTTAAACTAGCAAAATGCCTGTCATTATGAAGAACAGGATGTTTGCAAAGGGAGATTGTGGGGCTCTCTATCACAAAGCCAGAGAATCCAAAATGTATTCAAGTGACTCCATAGTTCTATGAATTCAATTTGTGAATTCCACAGTGGGCCGGCATCTCCCCAGTCATACCAGTTCTGTGGACCTCAGGGCCCTTTCCTTTCCTTTCCTTTCCTTTCCTTTCCTTTCTTTTCCAGAAATGTACACAAGTATGAATGCTACTTGAAAAGATGCTTATATATGCTTTTTAAAAATTGATCTCTATGATCTTTCTTCAGCTTCTGCTGTGTGGTACTAAGAAAAATATGCAAACTATTGCATAACTGTGAAAATTAAACACATTGTGGCTGACATTCTTGCATGCTTTTCTGAAGGGGAAATATTTGATGCTATCAATGAGCAGACAAAAGAACAAAAGACTCTTGGCAATCCACAAAACGTGCCTGCACAGAATGGATTAAACAATGTATACCCCTGAATGCCTGGATTCATCAAAGCCGAATCTGCCCATTTTGTTCACAGACACACTTTCAACCCCATCTCTTGAAGGGGAGGACCACTAGTTACCTTATTTGCCGCTGTATGAGCAACTGGCAAATGGTGTGCTGCCATTCCAGAGAGTAGAGCTCGACCCTTTAAATGGTTTCAGAGGACGAGAGGGTTTTGCTTCTGGGTTTCACGTGCTCAAATTATTTGACTGCCACAGATCACAAATTCACAAATACGGGGTTCACTCACAGAATATGATCTGAAAAGAAGTCTTTGGTAACCTGTCACAAACCGAGGGCTAGAAGGACAACAGCTGAAGGGAATAAAGAAGGCACTAAGCAAAGGCCTGCAGACTCTGTTGACTTATTTGTCTTTGCTAATGGCTTCCAAGCTCCCTTATACCGTCAGTATTCTAGTCCTCATCATAGAGCAACCACAGACCGAGTGGTCAAGGCACACATACAAGCACAGAGCAACAGGGAAAAGTTACCAGTCATTTTACTATAGGGATTGTAATTCATGGCAAGGCAGAGGAAGGATTCTCTCCATGTGTTTCACAATGTTCTTCTTTAAAAAAAATCATCTGTTATCAAGATAAACTCCAGACAAAACCAACTGCCTCCCATTGCCTTATTCCTTTCTGACCATAATTCAAGGTGCTGGCTTTACCCCTTAACCCTGGGATGTTTTGAGGCATGTGTAACAAAAAGAAAATTAAAAGGCCATTCTGAATGTCACAGCCAGCCAAGGCCTCACGCCTCCTGAGCACCACCACTTAAAAACGACTTGGGGGTGAGGAGGAAAAATGCAGCGACTCCAGCAAAAAGTCCAAAACATACGACCCCAAGAAGAGGGGTCACACAACAGGCAACCAGCTTCTCAGACTAATTAAGTGAAATGAACAGTTGTAGGGCTCAGGTTAGCATTTCAGGTTCAGTTGGAAATGCCATTTGTAAAAATAATATTACTATTTTACAAATG